CATGCCTCCCCAGTCTGCCCTCACTCACGGCTCCTCCTTCCCGGAGACGGGGCTCACGGAGGGGGATACAGCCAGGCCCACGCCTGGCCACAGTCCAGCACGGCTGCCCACTGTGGGTCCCTGATGCTTGTCCAGGTCAGGGGACAGATCTCCAAGGGCTGGGACCCAGGGGCCAGTGTGGCACGCTCCAGGCCCACCCTGAGGCCTGCAGTCCCAGGAGGGTGGGCAGCTGTGGGGACTCCACTCTCATGGTAGGTGGAGGGCAACTGTGACCAAGGCTCCACCTTCCCGCCTCCCGCTGACCTCGAGGGCCAGCCATGTTGTAGAGTGAGGGGACACACCCCGGGACACTGCCTGGGACTTCCAGGCGTGGCAGAGACAGACAACCAGGGTGGTCTCCCTGGAAACAGCAGCCCATTACAGGAGCACAAGCAGGCAGGGTGCGGAGAGGGTGCCAGGGGGCTGCTGCCACAGGCCCCGGGGGCAGGGCCTGAGACAGCCCCAGCATGATGCTGACCGCGAGCCACGGGGGAGAGCCTCGTTATCCTGGGGCTTGGGGAGCCATGGCGGGTCTCAGGGAGAGCATGGTGAACCTCTGGACACACTGGCTCAGCCTCCAGGGACGCCTCGGAGCTGCCATCGGTGTGCCCACAGGGCAGGCCTGGATGGGCAGTGGGCGCACCCCAGAAGGTCCACCTGTGCCCAGGAGGCCGGGCCTGACCTGTGTGGCCCTGCTCCATCAGTGCTGCAGTGGAGGCCAGCAGGGCCAGCCCGGAGCAGACACACCCTGCAGAGGGCCAGAAGGCTCTCGCTGCCCAGGCCCTGGCAGAAGCCCCAGGCCCCTCGAGAGCCGCGTCCCTCCTGTGCACAGCTGTGGAACCTCAGGGCCTCTGTCGCCTGCTCTGCAAATGGGGACCAGGGGGCCTCGGGGAACAGAGCTCGGGGCGGGGGTGTGCGTCAGGCACCCCAGCCCTGCTCGGACCCCAGGAAGGCAGCCCGACTCGGGGCCCAGCCACACGGGCCTCAGATGCCCGGGGCGGACTGGGCAGGGTCTCCACTGGGGGAACAAGGGCACTGCTCTGCACAGGGCCCAGGAGACGGGCGGGGGAGAGACCGCCGGCCCCACACTGAGCCCCCAGTGGGCTGTGGCGTGGCAAACCCTGCCCCCGGCCCTCTCGGCCTCCTGGGAGCTGGAGTCCCAGCTGGCATCGTCCTTCCAGATATGAGAGCTGTCAGGTGGCCAGGCATCGGCAAACCACAGCTGGATGCTGCTGCCTCCCACAGAGGCCCTGTCCCTCTGGGAACCTTTACGCTACTCAGAGACCCCAATAGCTGGGCCAGGCTCACCCATGGCCAGGCAGGTGGACAGATGCTGACTGTGTCCTTGCTGTGTGACCTCTGGCCAACTACTGTATCTCTCTGTCTCTTTGGTCTCCTGGGCTACAAAGGGAAGCCACCCCAGCTGCACCCTGCAGAATGAACGTGCTCCCACCTGTTCAGTGTAGCTCAGGGTGCCTGTGGTAAAGGCTCCGTGAACACCAGCTGTCACTATCGCTACACACTGCCACCCGTGGCCCAGCAGAGCCTGAGGCAGGGGAGGCACACGTGGTGTCATTAGGCACCTCCCGTGACCTCCGGCCCCCGCAGCACCGCGAGATCACCCGACAGTCTTCATCTCCGATGGGGAAATCAAGGCACGGGGTTTGGTGGACAGATGGAGGGGGAGGTGTGCAACGTGAGGGGGGCCAGAGAGGGTGGCGGGGGAGTGGTGGCAGGGGACACCTGCGGTGGCAGGGAGGGTGGAGGGAAGGCCGGATCCTGAGGCAGTCGCACCACCCCAGTTCCCCCCCCCCCAGGAGAGCTGAGTCACACCACATCATGGGTGAGCAAACAGGCCTGGCAAGGTGACCAGCTCGCTTGTGGTCCTCGAGAGGAGGGGACCTGGGGCACATCTTCAGGCCTGTCCCCAACACTTTCCCAGCCTCAGTGCTGCCTGGGGCCACACCCCCTACCCTGAGTGCCACGGGCAGCAAGGCGGACGCTGACCTCATGGCCTGGCTGGGGCCCAAGGCCACACACCTGCCCAGGGGACATCCTTGGGTCATGACAGTGGTCACCAGCAGCTGGGTGGCTGGGCGTGGCCCCCGTGGTGCCCGGAGCCCCTGGTTATCACAGTGAGCAGACGCCCGCGCGCCCATCCGTCCCCTGCTCATTAAGCCGGACGCGGGATTGGAAATGGAAACATAATAGCTATTTGATTGGGGTGAGATACTTTGCATATTGGCTCAGCACTGATAGCGGGATTTCATCAACTCCCTGTTTTCATGCTTTAGAACTGAATTAAGGAGCAGCTCCGTACGGGGGCTCGTCCCCACTCCCTTCCCAGTCCCCGCTGGCCACCAGACGCGGCCTCCTCTCAGCTTTGGGGGTGGCGTGCTGAAGCCGGTCGCCGGTGGGGAGGATGCCCCAGGCTCCCGGGGCGGTCCCCAGGCCCTCCTGGCTACACGGGTGGCAAGTCCCCCCGAGCGGCACCGTGGGCCGGGGCAGTGTGAGAACCAGGGCAGGCTCAGGAGCACTCCTGGGGCCCCGTGGGCTGCCGGGCACAGGCCCCTCTGGAAGGTGTGTCCAGGGGCCCCTCACCCTGGTCTCATCCAGCAGGACACAGGGGTGGCAGAGCACGAGCCACGGGCATGGGCAGAGCTGCAGGGGTGGCCTCCTCTCCAGGCTGTGCTCAGCCACCCCTGTCACCCAGTGCCCGAGCACCTCTCCCACACTGGGCCTTCCCTGAGCCGAGGGCATGCTGGAGACCCGGCAGTGCCCACACCTGCCCCAGAAACCCTGTGTGAGGCACGGCCGCAGGGGGCAGGCCCCACCAGGAGGCTGAGCAGTGGGCCTTCCTCCCCAAGCCCAGTGGAAGACTGGGTGAGGCCAGGGAGTGGTCAAGAGCTGGGGTCAGTTCGCCAGGCGGGACCAGGTGCCGAGCCGGGCTCTCAGGACTGCCTCCCTCTGGCTGGGGAGGGGGAGGGTGCCAGAAGGCGGGCGGCCTGGGGAGGGCAGTGGAGGTGGTGGAAAAGACCCCCCACCAGTTGTCACCAGGCCTGCCTCCTCGGCCTGCCGGCCCCGGGCAGCAGGTGGGCAGGCAGGGCACAGCGTGGCCAGGAGGGAGACCCTGGCCTCCAGGCAGCACAGAGCAGGCAGATAAGGCCTGATAACAGCAGGAAAATCGCAACAGACCCAGACTTTCCCACTGCCAGGCAGCGGGCACCTCAGGCCATGGGGGGCAGAGAGGGGACAGGACAGTCCTGCCCTCCTGGAGGCGGCACAGTTGGGAGCCTAGGGTGGCCGCCACCCAGCCAGGCTTGCGGCTGTGACCAGCCATCCCAGGAGTCCTTGTCAAAAAGCAGACCCGAGAGCTGGGCGTAAAACACGACCTCTCAAAGACCCCATGGACAGGGCACATTCAGGAGCGCTGGGCAAGCCCGCGGGCACAGCCCCCGCCAGGCCTGTGTCCCCGGCACTCGCAGGCCCACACTGGCCACCAGGAAGAGGCTCGGCAGACACCCAGGGGCTGGGCTCCTGCGCTGGAGCCCGCTCACACCCCGATAACCCGAAGGTGCTCTCTGCGAGTGCCCACGTGAGCCTTCCCGTGGGGCATCTGTCACTGCTGCCTAAACCCGTGTCCCCAGGATGATGGCCAACCTCCCGCCACCACCCTCCCACCTGCTGGGTTAAAGCTGTCCGCCCTCAGACTCCGGGGACTCAGCTCAGCATGGCCTCCCTGGGCCCAGCGAAGTGCTGGGTAAGCCCAGACGGAGGAGTGCCAAGCCTGTCGCAGAACCCGCCCTGGGTGGGCCAGGGTCATGGCAAGCTGGGGCCCATGGCCTCCACGCTAGTGAGTCTGGGCAGGGGACACACGGCCAATCAGCTTGACCCTCTCGACCCCACCCAGAACCTCACAGAGGGTACTCCATGCCCCTGCGACTGGAACTCAGTGCTCCAGGCTCCTGGGGTGGCAGTGCCTGGAGCCTGTCCCCTCAGGTGGTGAGGGCCCCCTCGTGCAGTGGACAGCTACTGTTGGGGGTGAGCTCCAGAAAGGCCAACCCAGTGTGCCTGGCCTCAGCACAACATGCCCCGGAGGCAGGCCCTGGGCCTCGGCAGGCCTGGAGGGTCCCTGGCAATCCTGGGGCAACCTCAGCAAGACGCAGGTCTCAACAGAGCCAAGCAGACCCGCTCTGGGCTCCAGGACCCACATGCTCCTGAGCTGGGCTGCTGGGACGGACCTCAGCCTTCGAGACTCGCCGTGTCCTGTGGATGAGGTGCACTCTCCTCGAGACGCAGGCTTTAAAGGCCTGAGCTGGGGAGTGCGCGGGCAGCAGGTGCGCCCAGGCTCAGGCTCACGCGGAGCAGCACACCCCGCCCCACGTCCAAGCTGGCCAGTGCGTCCGTATGACATCACCTGCCTTTCTTTGCTGATTTTCACTGACCCAGGATTTGACGGGGCCGGCGCCTTGTGCCTGTGGCGCCCATGGGCTCCTGACCCGCCGGGCACGGGCTGCTCCGGAGCTCGCCTTCCTCTCTGGACAGCCGCTCCGTGCCCACTTTCAACCCCTTCTTGGAGATGGGCTGTGGGTTTAACTTGCCCTGGGACATGGCCACTCAGGGTTTCTGGCTGGCCCTGTCCTCTGGGGGCTCTCCGGCTCCTGGAGTGGAGTGGACATCCTAACCAAGGCAGGTTCCGGCTCTCACGCAGCTCACCTAGGGGCACCCTACTTTGCAGACAGGGAAACAGCAGAGAGGCCTCTCAGCGAGCAGAGTGGGAAGCCCACCCCGCCCTGCCCATCAGACGCCCACCAGGGCCCAGGGCTCACACATTGGGAAACGGGCACCAGTCACCACCTTGCAGAGTCGCCACGAAGAGGGGACAGCGAGGTCTGAGGAGCTCAGGAAGGCCTCGGCCCGGCCATTCACAACGGCAGCAGGCTGAGGTGAGGGGACAGGTCCAGCCCAGACGAGGAACGGGGGACATGGACCTCAGCACCACACGGGCAGCACTGTGTGCAGGATGAAGAGCAGGTGGCATGAGGGCTTCCTGGAGGAGGTGGCATTCAAGCTGTGGCTGAGAGGAGCCCAGAAAGGGTGTCTAGGCAGGTTGGAAGAGCGGCATGGGGTAGGGAGGCCAGGGTGGGGAGGCTGGGCTGGGCCTATTCTCCCAGCAGGACGCAGCTCCTCCAGGGTCTTCCCTCTGCCCCGAGCCTGCCCCTCTCTCAGGCCAGAGCCATCAGGCTGGGCCCTCGCTCAGTCCCCAGGGCAGGGGCTGGGCGGGGCTGCACTGAGGAAGGCGGCTGCGGGGAGGGCAGCAGCCTGAGAAGGCCCAGCCCCTGCCTGGGAGCTGGGTTTCAGCCGAGCGGCTGCGGCTGCCAAGTCCGCATCCCCTCGGCGCGGCCTGCGCTCACTCAACATTCATCACGGCTGAACTCGGAAACTTTATCAACGCTGAGGGTTGGCGCCATCTCTGGGCCCGGCCACTCCCGGCCTGCGATGGGCCTGATAGCCGCTGATAGATTACACGAGATTGTTTCATCTGGAGGACGGATTACGGATGCTGGGGGTGGGGCGGGCCGTGTGGGGCCGCGTGGGAGCTGCAGCCCAGGGCTGTTGACGCACTTGGGTAAGTGTGGCCCTGACCAGCTGTGGACAGTCCGGCCACGTGCCAGGCAGGGGCGGCCGAGGCCACGCAGGGCATGAGTTCGAAGCATCCTGGGAGCAAGAGAGGAGGAACGGATCCGGCGGCCGCAGTGCGGTCCTCTCCAGATGGGCGGTCAGGGCCCGTGACAAGGCTGAGGCCTGACTAAGGGAGCCGTCGCAACGGCCACTGGTCAGATGGATGGAGGCAGAAGGCTGCCCAGCACAGGGCAGCTGCGGCGTGACAGGCCCTCTGGCCCACGAGGGGTGGCCCCAGCCCTGCTGCGCCCACCGTGCCCAGGGCCCTCCCAGCTGCCCCCTCACCGCCTACTTTACTGACCTGTGAGGCCCAGTGGTCTGTGCTGGTCATTGGGCACACTCACACGTTCCAAGCTGATCTCCTCCCCTGCAGCCCCTCTTTGAGGACCCCTGCCCCCACTCCTGGCCTCCATGCTATCAGCACCAGCAATGGGGGCTCCATGGTCCACACCACAGCCCTCCATGGAATTAGGGGATAGGGATTCTCCTCCCCACCAGGCCGGGATCCCGGAGTCACAGGAGTCCCTGATGGGGTCTCTGGCCAGGATTGTGGGTCACCTTCTACAAAGAAGCCACCAAGGAGGGCAGAGTGGACTTAGATGCAGAGTCCCCTAAAGTCCCCACAGCCATGCCCTCCTCACGCCTCTGGAAACGGGAACTCGGGAAGACCCCGGTGTCTCCAGTGTGGCCACAGAGAAAGGGACCCAGGAGAACCTGCTGGCTCACCCCAGGTGTGAGCGGGGAGACCACGGCCACCAAGGCAGGTGCTCAGAAACCATCCTGGGCGAAGAGCAGATCCCTTCCCATTTACAGATGCATAACAGAGGCTTGGAGGATGGACTCCCCACCCCCGTGTCCCGACCTTGGGCCAGGCCAGGTTGTGCGTGAGTCACAGTTGGAGGGCTGGGGTCAGGGAACAGCATGCCCAGGGCCTGTGGGGAGCCTGGAGGCCAGGGTGGGCCCAGGGGGCTGGCTGGGGTCGTCCCTACCCATTCTAGGAGCTCAGTGTCCCCTCTGACCGCTGTCAGATCTTGGGTCCTCCGTGTCCTGGTCCCCCTGATTCAGGTGTGAGGTCTGGACTCTGACACTGTGCCAGGCAAAAGGCCAGCCCTGGCACTGAGGCCTGGAAAAAGCTGGGCCCGGGGGCATTCCCACCGGCAGCAGGGCCTAGGGTGACACAGCGGCCCGCACTTTAGGGGAGGCCGCACCCTCTCCCTGGAGGGCCCACTCCACAGCAGCTCGGCCAATCCCTGGGCCTTCGCTCCTACTCATTTGCATGCCCCCTTTCTACTGGCTGCTAGAGGGTGGGTGAGAAGGACCCTGAGGGCCAGGGGTCTGCCTGAGGGGCGGGGCTTCGGTGGGGCGGGGCTTCGGCGGGGGCGGGGCTCCCGTCTGCCTGGAGCGGGCGCGGCTGCTGCGCTGGGGTGTGTCCTGGAAGTGGGGGGTTTTGAGTGACCTTCCCCAGGTTCAGGCTGCGTGGGGAGCGGTGTTCCTCGCTGCCCGAGGGATGAGTGGCGGGGAGATGCTCCCTGGGTCGCGGGGACTGGGCCCTGTTCCAAGGCTCGCTCCTCCCCGGGGCAGGCCTTTCTGCGGCCACTCGCTATCTCCAGCTGCCCGGCTCAGGGCTTCCTTTGCAAAGCCGGGGCGCGGCGCAGCGTGCACCTCCCTTCGGGCCCGGCCGTCGCCTGGCGCGGTGGGCGCGGGTGCGAGCGCCTCGCTTTGTTCCTGGCATTTTGGTGGCGAGATAAGGGGAGGCGGCCGCGCGCAGCAGATGGATAACGCGATAGCGCTCCGCGCGCCGCCTATCGCACTTTCCATCGGTTCCCTTTTCTCTCTTTCTTGTTGGGGGCCGGGCAGGGTGGAACCCCACCCCACCCCCGGAGCCAGGGAATCGGGTGGGGGCCTCTTCTCTTACGCCCCAGGCAGAACGGGCACCCAGGGCCTGCCCAGAGCTGACTGGGAGAGGGAGGGTCCCAAGGCAGCGGGAGAGGCAGGGTCTTCAGGCCACTAGGAGCAGCAGCAGCTGTGCCATGCTCTATCTGGCCTGCTGGCGAGCACCCACGGGCACTGCCCACCTTCTAGATGAGAGCAGAGAGGCTCAGAGAGTGAAGTTGCTTGCCCAAGGTCACACAGCAAGGGCAGGTGACTGGGTGTAAGCATGCCTCTCTGGCCACACTTCGAGTTGTCTGGAAAGGGGAACCCCCTTCTCAAATGGGTGGGCTAGTGGGGGCACTCAGGAGATGGCCGGAGCCCAGCAGGGACTCTGGGCCCAGGGCCTGCAGGCAGACTTTAGCATCCTCAGCCCTGCTTTACAGATGTGGACAATGAGGCTCAGAACAGCGAGGTGCTGGAGAACAGGGGCGACAGGCAGGCTGGGCCCCAGGCTCCCTCCCAAGCACCCCGGAGGCTCTGGGCTCCCTGCGTGATTCTTGTAACCTCCATCTGGAGACACTGGTGACCAGGGACATCCAAGCAGTGGACAAGGGGTCACCATGGACAGGAGAAGGCTCTGGGCCTCTGCAAAGCTCAGTGAGGCCATCAGCAAACGAAGTCATTTGCCAGAAACCGCAGAAGAATGGCGGCAGGAGGGTAGAGAGGAGGTGCAGGGCCCTTGCAGCCATGTGTGCCCCAGGTGGTGCCCACCACCCTGCCAGGACCTGCAGGCCTGGGCAGCTCCACCTCCTCCGTCCGCTTCTCAAAGCTGAGCATGCGGGGACTGTGCGTGTGGCCATGGCGCAGGCGAGGGGACCAGACCAGGGGTGTGTTAAGTCACTTGCCCAGAGGTGGGATTTGAGCTCTGGCAGCTGCACCCCACAATTATCCCTTACCCCAGAGACACCTGGTCTTCCTGAGACAGCTGACTTTCTTAGAATGTGGATATAGAGCAAAATCCAGAGGATTTTTCCTCATCAAAGGAGCCCCAAGAAATACACAAGAGTAGAGACAGACCAGTCTTAGCCACAGCTTCCACTGTTCCTGGGACAGGGCTGTGGGCCCCAGCGGTCACTTTCCTTCTCTGTGCCTGGGCCTCTTTCCTTGAAATGGAGGTGGCAGGCCCACTAGGAGAGGGACCCAAGGCTGTAAACAGCTCAGAACCTCCAGCCAGATGGAGACCCAGATCTGGACCAAGCCTCTAAGAGTCCTTCTTGTTTCTTCTAATGCTGTGTGACCTTGGGTCAGTTACTCAGCCTGTCTGAGCCTTGAGTCATCAGAGGAGAAACGAGGTTATAATTACTCTTGACCTGTCTTATTCCACAAGACAGGTCAAGCCCAGGCCTTGCATGCAGCCAGGACTCAATAAAGGGAGCTATTAATAATGGCAACCATCAGGGTCATAACTGGGGAGTCCCAGAGACTCGGAGAGACGTTGGGGACCCTGTCCATGCTTCCTGCCCCTGGGACCCCAGAGAATCTCACTTTTCAAGAGTCACTGAAAAATGGACCCAGAGGCCAGCTGGGAGCCCGAGTGGCCTCAGGAGGGCCTTGTGGAGCAGGGCTGGGCTCAGCCTGGCCACCACCCCAGGGAGAGGCTGTCCCCACTGGGCCTCTGCTTCTCCTCCCACGTGGCGGGCGCCTCGCCTGTCCCTCAGCGGGAGGATTAGCCACACGCCGCCCTAATCGCCGTATCACACATCAGCGCAGGATCTCGGATCAGCTGAAGGAGACGGGCTTCATCCAGACAGACGCGCGCGCTACCTGAGCCCATCTGGGCCCGACTGTCACCGACAGGCCTGATGGCTGCAGTGGTGGGGACAGCCCTGAGCCCCGGGCTTCCACATGGGAAGGGGGTGACGTAGACAGAGCAGCCAGAGTTCAGATCCTGCCCCAACGCAGCTGGGGCTCTGCTGGGGCCTTGGCATGGAGTGAGCACCTCCTGTATACTGGCCACGTCCAGGGACCGAGGCAGGGACCGGGCAGGTGGAACCCCCGCCTGTGCAGTGCACCTTGACCAACGGTACCCACTGGACAGATGAGAACTGGGCCCCCAGACTGCCCTGAGGACACAGTCCGGGCACCGGGCTCCAACCCCATCTGCCCACCACCAGGCTGCAGGAGGCTTGGAGGCTGCATCAGCCCGCTGACCCTGCCGCCTGGGGCAGAGGCAAGTCCAGGGGGTAGAGGCTCGTGTGCTCTCCTGAGCAGAGCCCTGCTCCAGCCACCCCAGCCTGGCCTGCCAGGGGCCAGCTCCCCGGACAGTCTCTGTGCAGAGCCTGCCTGTGCAGCCGGACACTGGTGGCTGCCCGCCTGGCCAGGAGCGACGGCCAAGGGCTCCCCTCCGGGGCTCCGTCCTCCCCCCTTCTCCCTACCTTCTTTTTCAAAAACATAATTTATCTGTGTATTATCAAGAAATCCAGACACTTTAATCAGTGAGCTATGAAGTCAGAATTTCCATTCTTATCTGCGGGAGGAGTGGAAATGGAGGAGATAGGCCGATCCTGGTGGGGAATGCTAATGGACGGAGGCGGGGCGCTGGCCGCGGAGCCTATCTCCTCCATTATCGAGGCCGTATCTGGCCAACCATCGCGGCAGTAATGGGCCAGTTCAACTTTCCGAGTTATCACAGGAGCTGAAACCTGCGCCCGCCAGAGGCCCCGACGGGGAGACTGTGCGGGGACCAGGCTTCAGCCGCAGTGGGAGGGGACGGCCGTGGAGCCGGCACAGTGGAGGCCGGCCACTACCCTGGACGCTGCCTGTGTTGGGTGGCGCTGGGTGAGGGCCTGTGGCTCAGAAGGGGAAACTGAGGCGGGAGCCCCTGGGGATCCGTGGCTGGGAGGAGGCAGGCCGCGTGCGAGCAGTGATGGAGAGGGGAGTAGACACTCACCCCTGGCCCTGAAGGCAGGCCCTGTTCCCCAGTGGCTCAGCAGGCCCAGCCTCGGGAGCCATCAGCAGTGACCTGACAGGCAGGGCATCCTGGGGCATGGCCCCGCAGCTCCCCACTGGACTCAGGAATCCCAGCCCGGGCCCTGGGAGTGCGCCCGGGGCCCCTCGCAAATGTTGGGGGCTACCCACCTGCCCGTGAGTGGCCACCTGTACCACAGGAGAGGGAGCCCCAGACCCACTTGTGGCCACACCCTGGGCTTGACCCAGGGTCTCACCCCAGGACACCAGCCGGCCAGGGCCACGGTGCTGCCCAGCAGGGCTGGCCCACGGGTGCCTGGTGGAGCGGCAGCTCTGGACTCCTGCTGCGGCCTCTGCCCAGGGAGGAGGGAACTCGCCAAGGTCACGGTCCGGGAGGCACCGCGGGGAGCCCCGGGAAGGCCTCCATGTCCTGAGCGTGAAGATGGGCACCGCCAGGCCCAGCGTGGCCCGGGGACAGCTCTCCCCAGGAGAACCGCCCTGCAGTGGCCGTCTCCTGTCCCCAAGGTAGGTGCCAGCCTGACCTTCACACTCCTGGCCTCACTGCCTCCCGGGACCTCCTCAGGACTTCGAGGGGCGCGAGGTCAGTCTGTGCAGTGCTGGGCACGGCGTGGGCCCGGGCTGGGCTGCACGCGCTGGCGGCCTGGTGGGAGGGGCTGGGCCTGGGGCGCTGGCTTCCCTCATCACACGGAGGCCAGGAGCGCCCTTGCTGGGGTGGAGTCCTCCCAGGCTCTGTCCCTGTCCCCAGAGGAGGAGCTTCTGTAGGGGGAGCGAGGCCACCTGGCCTGGGCCCCTCCCTGCCCGCTCCAGTGTCTGGCTCTGGGGCACAGACTTCGTGTGAAAGTACCAAGGAGGCGAGGGGCTAGAATGGGTCTCAGCACCCAGGACAGAGGGCTGGAGGTCAGACGTCAGGAGGAACCAGCAAGAAGCAAGCCCAGGAGACCGGGAAGGTGCAGAGATGCTGAGGGGTGGTCAGCAGTCGGGGGGAGAAAGGTGGCCCCTGTGTCCCTTCACTGAGTTGCACTGAACAACACAGACCCACCCCTGCTCTGCCTGGCCATGCCTGCCGTGGGGCCTCCGCCATCCTCTCCAACCGCGACCCACTGAGAG